GTTTGCCTGGCACGCAACCAACCTGGCATCCCCGGCATCCCATATGGTCCCCCAAGAACCACCAGGAGTAATCCTGAGCACAGAACCAGGAGTGACCCCTGAACATTGCTGGATGTGACTCAAAAACTAAACAAACAAACAAACAAACACCAATAGCTCTTCACTAAGGTCCACTGAACCCTCTTTTCTCCTTGAACTCTCTGATCCCCATAACCTCAGATCTGCACTCAGAATCCAAGGATTTATTTGGGTTTGGTTTTGTCTGTTTCTTTGTTTTTCTGTTTTTCATAATCCACATATGAGTGAACAACTGGTGTTTGTATTTCTCCATCTGACATTTTGCTCAGTTTAATGTCATGTTATAAAACAGCAAGATTACATCTTTTTAAGGTTGAGTAGTAGTCTACTGTGTCTATATACCACATATTTTCTTTGTCCCTCTTCATTGTTGGACACTTGTCCCTATATTGAAAATAATGCTACTTAGGTGTGCGTATTCTTTTCCATGTTACTTTTATTTGCCACTTGCCACTCCCAGCAATGCTCCTGGCTCCCAGTGGTGCTCAGGAGTTGGCAAGAATGTCTGTGGAGGGCTGGAGTGATAGCACAGTGCGTAGGGCGTTTGCCTTGCACGTGGCTGACCTGGGTTCGGTTCCCAGCATCTCAATGGTTCCCTGAGCACTGCTAGGAGTAATTCCTGAGTGCAGAGCCAGGAGTAACCCCTGTGCATTGCTGGGTGTGACCCAAAAGTCAAAAAAAAATGTCTTTGGAAAAGTCTCTTCAGATCTTCTGCCCATTTTTATACTGAGTTATGTTATTGTTGTTGCCAGGAATTGAACCCAATATCATGCATGCAAAGTATTTACTTATAATAGTTACATCCCAGCCTGTGTCACTGTTTTAATGATAGTTTCTTTCACTGTGCAAAAGCCTTTCATTGTTTTGTAATCTCATTTGTTTATTACTTTTTTGTGTGTGGTTTTGGGGGTCACATTAGTCAGTGCTGAGAGAAACTTCTGGTTTGGAGCCTGGAGTTTGTTCCTGGTAGTGCTTAAAGGATCACATGGTGCTGGGGATCAAACATGGACCTCCTGCATGTAAAGTTTGTGTTCAGCCCACTGAGCTCTCTCTTTGGCCCCTCTCTAGTTTAATTTTTGCCTCCCCCCTATAGTTAAGAATCAGTTCCCCAAAAGAAATCACTGAGACCAATGTGGTAGAGTATATTCCCTGTTTTCTTTCTATATTCTATGTTTTATTCAAGTGTTTAATTCATTTTTAACTAGTGTTTGTGTCTAGTGGGCAATACTGTTTTAGTTTCATTCTTGTGTATGTGGCTGTTCACGTTTCTCCATTTCTTTTTATTTCTTTCTGTTTGGGGGCCACACTCAACTGGGCTCAGGGCTTATACCTGGCTCTGTGCTCAGGGATCACTTTTGGCAGGATTTGTTGGAGAATACCGGGAGCCGGGGATCAGACCCAAGTCAACAGCATGCAAGGCAAATTCCCTACCTGCTGTCTACTGTTCCCCAACGCCATTTCTTAAAGAAAATTTTCTTTTTCCTCATATTTTCTTGGCCTCTTTGTTATCAATTAACTGTCCATATATGTGTGGGTTTATTTCTGGGTTCTCAATTCTATTTCACTGGATTGTGCGTTTTTCTTTCAATATCACATTGTTTTTTATTACCAAAACCTTGGAAATTTGGGGGGAACATACCCAGCACTTTTTAGGGGCTACTCCTGCTTGGGGGTCACTCCTAGCAGGGCTTGGGGGACCATGCAGTTCTGGGAATCAAAACTGGGTGAGCTCTGTGCAAGTTAGGCACCTTAACCCCTCTACTACCTTTCAGTCCCCGAGAGTTTTCATCATTCATTTTTCAAATCCCCTAGGGCTGGGGGACCAAACCTGCCTGCTTCACGTGCAAGGCATGTGCTCTGCCACTGAGCCACATTCCCAGCCAAGAGATGTACTTCGGTGGTGGTGGTAGCGATGGTGGTGCTGGGAATAAAACCCAAGGCCTCACACACACAAAGTAAATTTTCTATCACTGAGCCACATCCCAGCTCTCATTCATCCTTAACTTGTGTAATCCCTGTGCAGTGCCAAGTGTGACCCAAAAATTAAAAAAAAAAATGTATACAAAGATTTAGTTTTATTTTAATTTTACTGTTTTGTTGTTTGTTTTGGGACTTCAGCTAGTGGTGTTAAGGGCTTACTCCTGGCTCTACACTCAGAGATCACTCCCGACAGGGCTTGGGGAACCATATGGGGTGCCAGAGATTAAACCCAGGTTAGTCATGTATGCAAGGTAAACACCCTACCATCGCTTTGGCCCTGGTCTAGTTTTGATGAATAGTGCCTGAAATGACGAGCTTGTCTATTCTGTTTGACACTGAACAGTAAAGAGAACTAATCTTGAAAAAGTCTTTGAAACTCAATATTTATTCTATTTTGTTTATTTGTTTTAGGTGAGACAAGATAGTTTTTTATTGAAATGTGAAAGATGTCTTTATTGAAAGACGCGAGGGAAGAAAAAGGGGAGAAGTGTGTGTTCGAGAAAGGACACAGTCTTCTCCAGAGTGGAAACAGGCACGCAGAAAAATAGACAAGCAGTGAGATGGAAGATGAGCAGGGACGAGGGAAAACACTGCTTAAAGAGCAACCCTTAATACTTATTTATTTATTTATTTTGCTTTTTAGGTCAAACCCAGCGATGCTCAGCGGTTACTCCTGGCCTTGCACTCAGGAATCACTCCTGGCGGTGCTCGGAGGACCATATGGGTTGCTGGGAATCAACTCAGGTTGGCCGCATGTAAGGCAAACGTCCTACCTGCTGTGCTATTGCTCCAGCCCCTAATATTTATTTTAATGAAAAAAATTTATCCTTCAAAATTGATTGCTCACTGAGAGCCAAAACACGTGAATTTCAATGCTATCTGATCAACTACATGTTAAAGAATGTAGGAGTCAGAAAGACAAGGGTTAGGTACTTTCCTTGCCTGAGCTGACCCTGGTTTGATCCCCAGCATCTGGTATGGTTCCCTGAGCACAGAACCAGAAATAACTTTTGAGCTGCCAGGTGTGGCTCCAACACCCCTCTCCCCAATTAAGAATTCTATTTCCGAGGGCCAAAGCAATAGTAGTGGGTAGGGTGCTTGTCTTGGACACAACTGATAGGGGTTTGATCCCTGGTGCCCCATACAGTCCTTGAAACTGCTAGGAGTGATTCCTGAGTGCAGAGCCAGATGTAAGCCCTGAGCATTGTCAGGTGTGACCCCCAAAGCCCCCCCCCCCCCCCCCACACACACACACTCAAGAAATTATTTTCGTTAGTTCAACTAAGGAATAAACTCTATTCCCCATTTCTAACTGAAGTGCTCCAATTTACCAAAGAATTCAGGAGACCAAATGTCATGTGTAATTCTTGTTTCCTTTTATAAACCACCCAAACAAGGGATGAAATATCTGTAGTCGGCTTCAAAAAAAAAAAAATCCTGGATCCTTGCCAGGGATGTGGTTCAGAGGTACAGCACATGACTAGCACGTGTGAGAACCTGGATTTCATTCCTGACACCACATGGAGCAACACGGCATGGGGGTCCCACTGTGTGTGGCCCCCCAAACAAAAACATAAACAAAGAGGCCAGGGTCCCTGTGGCAGAAGAATAAACAAAATACACTTATCTCACTGTGGATTTTCTGATTTGTTGCCACACTGTAGATTCTAAACTCCCTAGTGTCAGGAAGTGTGTAGGCCCAGCAGACATCTGGAAAAGAAACATTTATTTAACGCACAGCATATATTAGGCAAGATCCTTGCCCCAAGGGGCTGATAATTCTGTAGGAAAGGTATGACACATATATTAAAACATTGTCTTTAACCGTAGTCTTGTGAATCCTGCCAGATAACTCGGTTATACACCATGCCTGGTGGTTATTCCCAAGGATGGCCATGAGGAAGAAGTAAACGGAGGGATCACCAACACGGCAGGAAACTTGGAGCTGAAACGGACGGTGACTATCTCCAGTGTAATGATTTCCTGGGTATACGAATGTGAACACTTGCCAAATTGTACAGCAAAGTATGTAAGGTTACACTGTGCCGGTTTCTCAATAATGCTGACTCTTTTTTTTTTTTTCAAGGCTAGATCGCGGAGGAGCAGATGAAAGAACTCAAGTCTTTCGGGAGCAGGAAGGTGGTGTGTGCGAAGCCAAATTGAGTAAGCGATCGTTAGGAGTCAAGCCTGGGCCGGTTGTGACTGCAAGGCTAGAGACAGAGCATGGATCATCAGACCCGGGAGCGGACTTTACCGAAGGTGCGTGATGCCTGCCGGGCTGTGTGAGCCTCTCTCGGGGGCAGGGGTGGCGCGCATTCGGCAAAGGCGGGAGAATCTGGGCAGAAACGGGCAAGCCAGAAGGAAGAACGCGACTCGGACTGAGATGATGAGGCGTTTCTTTCCACTGCGTGTTTGCACGTTGGACGAGGTCAGAGTACTACTTCGGGCCTCGCTCCCTTCCGAGACACAGAGAACGAGGCTGGGAAAGGGCTGCAGCGTGCCCAGCGCGGCCGCGACCGGGGGAGCTGCACCGCCCAGGCCCGGAGAGCGCTCCTCCAGCTCGTCCCCCGCAGCGGAGCCCGACGCGCGTCGCCCCGGCCCGCCCCGGCCGCCCCCGCGCGCGCGCCCGCGCCCGCGAGGCCGCGCCCTCCGGAGCGGGGCGGCCGGGGCGGCGGCGTGGGGGCGGGGGCGCTCGTGGCCGGCGCGTGCGCGCGGCGCAGGAGGGAGCGCGCGCCCTTCACGTAACCCGGCCCGCGGGCGGCGACGCACACGACGCGCCCCTCACGTGGTCCGTCGCCAGCCCCGTCGCCGGCGGAGGCGGGCGCGGGCGCGTCCCTGTGGCCAGTCACCCGGAGGAGTTGGTCGCACAATTATGAAAGACTCGGCTTCTGCTGCTGCTGCTAGCGCCGGAGCTGAGTTAGTGCGGAGACGGGGTCCCGGGGCTGTCCGTGTCCGGCGGCCGCCGCTGCCGCCTCCGGAGACGCTTCCCGATAGATGGCTGCAGGCCGCGGAGGAGGAGGAGGTGGAGTTGCTGCCCTTCCGGAGTCCGCCCCGTGAGGAGAATGGTAGGGGACCCACGCAGGCCCCGCGGGGCTCGGGGGTGCGGGGACGCCCCCGGGCGGGTGCGGGCACGGAGCTGCTGGCTCGGGCTGCGCGCGTCGCCGCGCCGCGCCGCGCCGGGAGCCGCCACCCCAGCGGCAGCGGCAGCCCCTGCGTCGCCTTCGGGCTGCCCGGCTCGCCCCGGCGGGGCGCGAGTGCAGGGCGGAGGGTGTGCGGGCGGAGGGCAGGGGGCTGCGAGCCGGGCGGGCGCGACCGGCCGTGGCGGGGCGGCCCGGAGCGGAGCCCCCGGCGGCGCGCGCGCGGCGGGCAGTACCTGGGGCGAGCGGTGCCGCAGCGCCCGCCGCTCCGCGCCGCATCTCCCGGGAGCGCGTGCCGCCAGGCGCCAGTGGCCGGCAGATAAGGGAGCCTCCGGCTCCGCTCAGCTTGGGCACGGGGAGGGAGAGGGAGGGCCGGGAGGGAACGGAAACAACCGGCACCCAAAGGAGGGAAAAAAAAAAAAGGGAGGAGGGTGCGCGGGGGGGGGGGCAGGGTTGAGAAAGGACACACACGGCTTGGAACGCTGCCGCGTCTGCTGCGCAGTGAGTCCGCTACAGGTACAGTTCCCTTGGGGAACCCGAGGGGGACGGTGTGATTGACCAGGGGTCTGGGCTAGCGTCTTCTGGGAAGGATTTTATGGGGGCGCTGCTTGGGTTGCGAGTGGAGCGTGGTCAGGCTCTCTGCTGACCTCCCTCGTACCCTCGGGAAAGGATCTGATCGAGTTTTAAACCCGAGGAGAGGGAGGCGGTGCATTGCAGCTTTGGATCGTTGTGTGTGTCTGCGTGTGTGTGTGTGGGGGGGGGGGGGCGGGGGGGAGGCTAGAATGTGAGGGTTTCCTGCAAAGAAAGCCTTTTCAAAAGATTCAGGGGGTGCAGACCTGGGTTAAGTGTTCAGCTCAGCTCTGGAACTTGATAGGCTGCGTCCGACGACTTTCCCTCCGCTGGAGCCTGGCAGGTTTACTTTTGTCTGGAAGCCAGTTCAAGAGCCACACAAAACAAGCCACGAATCGGGTTTTATGGCTCTGCCTAAGTCTCGCATCTTCCGCGGGTTTCCGCTGTCTTCGGTGATGAAAATCTTTTTTTTTTTTTAAGTCGCTTTGCTATTTTCCTAATTTTGGAAAGGTTTTAATTCCTCCTCCGTTGTAGCAGAAATTTCTTTTGATGACTTAGGTGGATTTTAAATAAGAAACTTTTTTCTTAAGATTCCACTTAGGTGGAATCTCTTTGGGCTTGTGGGTGGAGAGTTGAGTCAAATGCCTTTTGTTTGAAAAACACCATTGATACGGCCTCTTAAGTGATCTGTAGAGTTTTTTCCTTTATAGATGACGTACATTTGAATATACCGTTTCAGTATTTTGAAATTTTAGATCTATGAGAACGTGGAAATGAAGGTGATTTATCAAGCTCAAGGTAGTGCTAGCAACTAGATTGCTTATTTCCTATGGAAAGTCTAATTTCATAGTCTTTAACCCCAGGTGTTTTATTTGAATCCAACGTGTTATCTTAATGCCTTGCTATCTCTACAGTCTTTCGGAACTTTTGAAAATTAAGGTGTGGTCTAAATTTCTCTTGTTTCTGCTGTTTTTTCATTCCTGCCCAGTTTTTAAATAGTAGATTCACTTCCCTGAATTCTGTGGCCAGCACAAGTTGTGACTGATTCTTAGCTACCGTGGAGCAGTTCTTTACAGATTTCCAGTTGAGCTACAGTAAAACTTTGTGGTTACCTAAAACTGGGCTTCTCTTTTCAATAATGTTAATTTGTTGAGTTTCCTCAACTTTCAGATAAATGCACTTAAAAGTTTACCTTTCAGAAAAATTCCACACAGATGATCCAACCCACCAAAAAGCAATATAAAACGAAATATCAAGAAACGTTAATTTTAAAACTGGAGTGGAATCCAATTTTGTCCATAATTTTCTTACCATAGCTCTTGGAAATATTTACTCTATTCATTTATCAATTGCTTACTCAGTGTTTGATATATTCCAAGGACTGTGATAGGCACTAGAGTGAGAAAGATGTCTTACACAAATTTCTCACATTCAGATAGCTCACATTTCTAGTTATTTGTAGGAGACCTACCCTTCTATTACCAGTGGAAGACATGTACATCACTTCATAAAGCATTTAGTGTCTACTTTGTTGCAGGCACTGATATTTACTAGCATAGATAGAAAAAAAAAGCCCAAAGAGTATTACACTGTTGCATAGATAATTTAAAGTATTTACTTTGATTTGCTAGAGGGGAAAATTTAGGTGGTCTTGCAAAGAAGAAACTGATGGTGAGAAAGAGGTCTTGGACTGGAGAGATGATTCAGTGAACCGAAGCACATGCTTTGCATTCAGGAGACTGGCATTCTATCCCCATGGTACCCTGAGCATTTCATCAGTTACCTAAAGATCAAAATCTCTCCCTCCCCCTAAAAAGAAAGGTGGGTCTTGTTAAAGTAAATAGGGATTAAAATTAGCCTAGAAACAGAGAGTTGAGGGGAGCGTGGAGCTATTGTACAGTGGGTAAAGGTGCTTTCCTTGCTCTCTGTCGCCCAAGGTTCAAGTCCCAGCATTCCCTAAGGTCCCTTGAGCTCGAGCTCACCAGAAGTAATATGTGAGTAGAGCCAGGAGTAACCCCTGAGCACCAGCAGGTGTTGCCCCAAAACATAACAAAATAGGATGTTAAATTGGTAGATGATTTTTTTTTTTTGGGTCACACCTGGTGAGGTTCAGGGATTACTCCTGGGTCTCCATTCAGGAATTACCCCTGTAGTACTAGGGGCCCCATGTGGGATGCTGTGTGATCAAATCCTGGTCGAGCTAAGCAAGTGCCTTACCCACTGTACTCTTTCCAGCCTCAGTAGTTTATGCTTTTATACTAGGGAGCTGAACTTTTATAACAGAAGAGCATCTTGGTTTCCTTTGGGAACAGATGTGTAAATACTTACTGTACATAGTTTTTAATTTATGTTTAGGGATCTGGGGCCACACTCAATATGCTAACAGGATAGGACGGGTCTGTATTCTGGTTTGTTTCGACTTTGGTTTTTGGACCACACCTGGGGGTACTTAGGATTTATTCCTGGCTTTGCTTGGAGATTGATCCTGGTGGGCCTCAGGGGCTATACGTGGTACCCTGGGTTGGAACTGGCTAGTGCCTGCTTTAAGTTCCTGTACTCGCACTGGCCGCAGGGCTAGTATATTGAGTGCAATGTATAGCCTGCAAAGGACTTAATCTGGAGATTTGGGGGATTCACATAAGAAAGCAACATGGAACTTGATTTGGTGAGTATTTAGACTGAAAAGAGAAAACTGTTGCAAGTTTTTGTTTTGTTTTTGGACCACAGCTGGAGGTGTTAAAAAGCTTAATCCTGGCTTTGCACTCAGGGATCATTCCTCTTGGGCTCAGGGCACCCTATGTGCTGCCAGGGATGGAACTTGGTCAGCCACTGGCAGAGCAAGCGCTTTTACCCCCTGTACTATTGCTCCAGACCAGCACATACAAGATTTTGACTAAATGTTGAGGGCCTGAAATTAATAGGAGTAAATAGTGAAAAATGAACATGTTTAGGAATTAATTAATATTAATTAATATTTTGTACTTGGTTACTTTTGTGGAGGAATTTGCTATGTATGCTTGCATTTTTTTGGTGGGGGGGTGTTTTGGGGCCACATCTGGTGGTCCCAGGGCGTACTCCTGGCTCTGTGCTCAGGAGAGTAATTTTTAACATAAAAATTAAAAATAAAATGAAATAAAAACAACTTGAAAGTTGGTGTGTGTGTGTGTGGGGGGAGATGTATTCCTGGCTCAGTGCTCAGGGGTCCTGGCAGTGCTGTTCAGGCACTGGGTGGCACAGGATAAAGATGGGACACAGATGACCATATGACCAAACCCGGATTGGCCAGGTGCAAGGCAAGCACCCTACCCACTGTACTATCTCTCCATCCCATTGGTTTTGATTTTTTAATGATCCATTGAAGTAAACATGTATAGAACTTAAAAATTTGAGAGTTCTGCCATAGATGTTTTGATCTAATGCTCAGATATTCTCTTTATTTTTTTTTTCAGATACTCTCTTTAATATTCTAAATGTAACAGGTTTAAAACGCACCAAGATACACTAGTAATATGAATCACCATATATCCGTAACCAATTTCAATAGTTTGAAACACACGAATTATTTTATTTAGTTTCCCCATTACCTTCTAACTGAATACTTTAAAAGCAAATCTCATCTATACTTATTCATGTTTCTCTCTAAGATGTTAAGTACTTTTTAACACCCCTACATGCTGATAACAATTTTAAAAATTAATTCTTAAGTATCACTAAATATTCATATTTCCCTGAATTGGCCTTTCTTTCTCTCCAGTTAGTTGGAATTGGTATCTAAAGAATTTCACGCAGTGTTTTGTTAATGAGTATTTCAGTATATTCTATCCTTTTTGTTCTCATTTGCCAATTACTGATTTCGGGAGTTTTCGGGACCATACTGCTCAGGGGTCACTCCCAGCGGTGCTTAAAGGGTGGATGCAATGTGAGGGTGGATCCTGGGCTTCTCACATGCAAAGCAACTCGTCAGCCATTTGGGCTTTTTCTGTCTGGCCCACAATTTACTGAACACTGAAAAGAAAAATAAACCTGTAGAGTTTCCCATAGTTTGAATTTTGCTAAGTGCATTCCTATAGGGTCTTTCGATGTGTTTGTTTCTCCTCTGTATTTCTTATAAACTTTAGTGATAAGGCTCAAATTTTAGTTTGACATTTTGACAAGAATACTTTGCAGGCGGTACTGTGTACTTTGTATTACATCGCCTTCACAGACTCATAGTTGGACTAGAGAGAGAACACAGGGCTGAAGGCCCCTGCTCTGCCTGAACAGCACTCCCAGCACTGCCAGGACCCCTGAGCACTGAGCCAGGAATACAACTCCCCCCACACACACCAACTTTCAAGTTGTTTTTATTTCATTCTATT